AAGTGACCATAAATCATCGTGGCGTCCTTGCTCATCACGACGATGAACATTTAACGAACAGTATCGAATTGTACCGCGAAATGGTGCTGTTTTACGTGGTTCACGTAATTTCATATTACCTTCATCGTCCATTATCTTAAATTAATAAAGATTAAACGATGAAATTAAATGAAAGTTTTATACATTGATCAATATTTATAAAATTAGAAAAAATCGAAAATGTTTGAATAACATAAAATTGGATATACAAATTATAAAATAATATGTAAATTTCAATAAGATAAAATTAGCTATATGCATTTTAATTCAATCAATCGTTGCATTCCAGAAAAAATCAAGTACATCAATGGATAACTAAAACGATAATTAAACAAAATCAAACTGTTAAATCGATAGTTATCAATCGATAATTGAACAGTTATAAAAAAATTAATCTAATGAATGATTAGATATAAATTCAATTCATCCAATTGTAAAAAAAAAAATTGATCTGTTTAGGGTGTCAATTGATAATTAAACAGTTAAATAATTAAATGACTGCTTACAAATGATACCAATATAATGTAATATATCAAGACTTTTTTTTTCTTTTGTACACATTGATATATTGATTGAAATTTTTTGAATTTTTAAAATTCTGAAAATTTTTGTATTTGATAAATAAATTGAGAGAAAACGAACACAGTATTGTCTCGCAAGACCAAAATCAAGCATAAATACAGTACGTATTACTGATGGTTTACGTCCCATAGCAAAATTTGATGGTTTTACATCACGATGGATAAATCCAACATTATGTAAATCTTCGATTCCTTCCAGACATTGCATGCATAATTTCACCGATGTTGACAATGTAAAACGCTATAAAAAGTTAAATATTATTTAAGTTATTGAAAAAGTTCTTTAAAATCATAAAGTGAAAAATTATTAATGTAAAATTTATAATACTTTTAGTGATTATTAATTATTTCATTCGTTTCAGCTCTGTTCTATCACGTTCAGGAAGAAGAAAAAAATCAATATTAAAAAATTAATATTAAATTGGAAAAATTTTAGAAATTTGCTAATTTTATGTGATTAATCTTACATGCTCAATTATGCATCTAACTGTTTAACTATCGATTAATAAATTTAATAATTTGATTTTCAAACAGATATATTCATAACATTAGACCTGATTTGGACAGTGTTTTCGCAAATCGGATAATGATTTCGATAATAAAGTCATAATTAGAAAATAAAAATTCTCATCCTAAAATATTACAATTTGAAATGGAAAATTTAAATTCATTAATTATTTTTCAACCATTCTACTTTTATTACACTCAAAAGACGATATATTAAATGTAATAATTTTTTGATTAACGATTTACTGAATTGTTTATATTTAAAATTAATAATGCTCAAGTTGTCAGTGATTTGATTTGTATAAATTCATTATTGATAGGGAATGGTTTAATTTAAATTATACATTAAAATTGTAAATTTATTGTAATGTTTTTTTTTTTCAAAAAAATTAAAAATTTTAATGATTTCTTTTATCAACCTTTCCTGCTGCATAAATTTTGCATGCATGCTGTGATTTGTCAAGTTTTTTTAAAACATGCACTTCCATTTTTAGTATTTGATCGTCGCTTAGCATACCAATCGGTTCAGTCTTCATGGCTGCCATTTGAATTGGATTTTGTATATTAAACACTTGAAAAACTAGGCCATAGCCACCTTCACCAATTCGGCGTAATATCTGCATAATTACGCGTAATTACAAATTCGAAATGTTCTTTGACATACATTATATTTTTCATTTCTTTTTTTTTTTGAAATGATATTACTTGTATTGTACTGTGAAAATTTACAATATTAATCTGAATGTAAGGAAAACTTTCGAAAGCTTTAGAATTTAGGATTTCAAAAATTTTAAAAAGTGTACTAAAGATGACCGATAATTTTTTTTCTTTCAATTAATGGTGGAATTTATGTTGCTTTAAAAACCGGAATACATATGTTACATATGAGCATATTTAAATTTTTAAAAATAGCGCTTGATTTCAGAGTTTAATTTCAGAAATAAAATTTTAAGGTTTTTTTAGTTGACGTTCTTCTTGATATGTTCTTTATTATTA